GTTTTAGGGGCTGTTTGGTTGGCATTTTTTGCCCTTGTAAAGCTGTCAAAACTGACAAAAGCTGTCAGTTTTGACAGCTTTACTTGCAAAAACGCTCATTTTTGGGCGTTTTTGCAAGTAAAGCTGCCAAAACTGACAGCTTTTGTCAGTTTTGGCAGCTTTACAAGGGTAAAAAATGCCAACCAAACAGCCCCTATAGAAAACCCGATATTAAATTGTTTGATACTAAAAGAATATTATATCATTATCATTCTAGAAGTTTGTGGGGTTTACGTCTGCTGTCCCCTCTTAATGAGCAATTCCAACCCACGTCGCTGGCATTAGTCAAGCAGAAGAAGCCAAAGCAAAAACGCCCATTTTTGGGCGTTTTTGCAAGTAAAGCTGCCAAAACTGACAGCTTTTGTCAGTTTTGGCAGCTTTACAAGGGTAAAAAATGCCAACCAAACAGCCCCTATAGAAAACCCGATATTAAATTGTTTGATACTAAAAGAATATTATATCATTATCATTCTAGAAGTTTGTGGGGTTTACGTCTGCTGTCCCCTCTTAATGAGCAATTCCAACCCACGTCGCTGGCATTAGTCAAGCAGAAGAAGCCAAATAATTTAGCCCTCCTTTTCCCTTACGTGTAAAATAATTTCCAAAAGATGGGATAAGTGGACTTTGAGCATCAAAGGAAGACCCTGAACAAGAGAGAGAGAGAGAGAGAGAGAGAGAAAGGCAAGTATTGGTGGCTGGGTCCATGAATCTTTGGAACTGCGTGGTTAATTATGATATTTGTTTCTCGGAGGAAGGTGTTATCATTTGTAATAAACTGTTATTGTGAAGGTAGATAAAAAGAAGAAGACAGAGACTCTGTTAAGCATGCGCAAAATACAGTTAACCAACATCTATGTGGTCTGATGGGTGCAGACACAGGGTTGATGGCATCAATATCTAATAGCTTAAGTTTTTGGGTTATTTTAATTGGATTTGGATCCTCTCCACTACAAAAAAGTAGTGGAAAGACCACTGCTTTTAATCTTAATCGTTGATTATTTAGTAGGCGGTTATGATACAATCTAAATCTAACACTTACCATACCCCCGTGTATTGCACTCATTCCTAATTTGCACTAAAAGAAAAAATCATAACCATTAACTAGATAATCAATGGCTGTGATTATGTAGTGGTCCCTTCACTGTTTTTTTTTTTGTAGTGGAGAGGATCTGAATCCATTTTAATTTCCAGCTGCATTTAAGATGCATTCAACATGTATGTTCGGCTCCATTACTCCAAAAAAAAAAGCGATGTTATAGCTCAATTATTTTCCTCATCAAAAGTTCCAATGTGAAGCCCAATGGTGATTGAAAAGTAGTTAAAGTGAGATTGGCAACGGTCAAATATCTTGCTAGCCAGCAAATAATGGAGATTTTAAATAGTGATATATAGTAAAAGATGAATATTGATAGTCATGCTCTCACTCTGTGGTTGTTAGTTTGGACCAAAGTCCAACTAACCCATATTGTACGCTGACCTACTAATTATTTAAAGTTTTTGAGTTAATTCGATTATCAACACTACTAACTTTCCAATAAATATACCATAATTACAAGCACAGAACATGAAATCCGTACATCAATATTGGACTAATGCAAGTGCAACACAG